ACGCTGGGGAGCGGGTGCTCACCTTGCACCGCCACCGTCACCGGCGCCGATTTGTACCTCTCCGGAAAGATGTGGCCCACGGTGGCCTGGCAGCAGTAGCGCCCGCTGTGGTGTGCAGCTCAGCCCCCCGGGAGGGCCGCCCCAGCACCTCCTGCTCGCGGAAGAACTGCACTTGGGTGACCCTCGTGTCCTTCCAGGCCCGGCAGCGCAGCAGCAGCGCGTCCCCCTCCAGCAGTGCCTGCGCTGGCACCTGCAGCACCAGCCAGTCTGCAAGAGAGGGCCAGGACATGGGGATGCAGCCAGTGGGCTCCCATTGCACGGGGATGCACTAGTGTGCATGGGGATGCACTGGTGTGCACAGGGGGTGTGCTGGTGTGCACAGGGGATGCACCCAATGATGCACAGGGATGCACTGGTGTGCACAGGGATGCACTGGTGTGCACAGAAGATGTGCTGATGTGCACTGGGCTCCCATTGCACGGGGATGCACTAGTGTGCATGGGGATGCACTGGTGTGCACAGGGGGTGTGCTGGTGTGCACAGGGCATGCACCTGGTGATGATCACAAGCAATGCACTGGCGTGCACAGGGATGCACCCGGTGATGCACTGGCATGCACGGGGATATGCTGGTGTGCATGAGCATGCGCCCAGGGATGCACCGGTGTGCACATGGACACACCCGTGTGCACGGGGATGGGCTCCCATCGCACGAGAGGTGAGAGGCTGTGAAACAGAGCCCACCCTCAGGGCACCCATCCCACCCCTCACCATTTGAGAAGCTCAGGGTGACGGGAGGGCTGAGCCCGGCGCCGGGGCCGCGGCACTCGTAGGTGCTGCCCCCGGGGTTGTTTTTGGAGACCTGGAGGTGGTGTGACCCTGCCCGCCACCAGAGCTGCTTGTTGATGTACCAGTCGGTGGGGCCGGGCGCGCCGGAGCCCTGGCAGGTCAGCGTCACCTTCTCCGGGAGGAACACCGGCATCCAGGGCGGGTCTGGGGTGAGTTGGCTGGGCTGGGTGCCTGCAGGGTGACAGGGGACGCCAGCCTACCGGGGGCCACCTGGGGTG